TCTCTGGTATCAACCTGGGAGCTGACACAAGATGACGACGGTTCCTCCTGACCTGTCCTGACGGAGTTTTCAACAGGTACGATCTGTCGTTGACAGCTGAAGACACGGAAGCACTGAAGCCACCACCTGGACCTTTAACCCACACCGTTTCTCCTGGCTCAAGCTTGGGAAAAGATCTTGCCCGACGCGTGAGATCATGGTTTTCTTTCTGAGCTAACCGATCCTTTGTTTCCCTTTCGCGAACTTTGTCTAAATCTGGCCATTGAGGGATAAGGTTACTTGGGTTTTCAGGTAGAGTCATTCGCAGTTTTCGACCCATTAACAGTTCTGCTGGACTGAACCCATTTTTCAGGGGTGTTGCACGGTATGCTAGAAGAGCCCGATAAGGATCCTTCGCGTTCCTCAATACGCGTTTAACCGTTTGAACCGCGCGCTCTGCTTCTCCATTGGCTTGTGGGAAGTGCGGACTACTGGTTTCATGACGAAAGCCATACTCAGCAGCAAACTTCACAAATAATGCACTGGCATACTGTGGCCCATTGTCAGATATTAGAGTCTCGGGTGCCATGACGCGCAAAAATTGACTTGAGGTGGTTCATGATGGCTTCTGATGAAGTAGACTGTAATAACGCGATTTCGACATATCTCGAAAAATAGTCAATCACAAGCAAATAGTTCTTGTTGTTCATATAGAACAAATCAGTGGAACATCCTCTATCTCGGGACCGATTCTAGGCCACCACAGAGAGGTAAAGTGAAGTCACGGGACCAATAAAGTGAAGTGGTGTCCGATAAAGTGTAGTGGGTGAACTTCTTTGTTGAGAATGAAGAGTGGTGCAGTGTTGAGTGGAGATGAAGAAATCCAAACGCTGTTCAGGTTGATGTAAATTTATTGTGTGTAGACATGGAGAGGTGGTACACTCGCATGCCTTCAGGAACCGATTCGACGACTGGCTAGAAACCTAGTCGTATTTATACTAAAATTCGTAGACATTGATAATCTAATATTACATATTTGCTAACAAGAAGTGGATAATACATGAGTTATTTACATGGTCTAATGCACACACATAGTGGTAGATTAGGTGGTTTACGACAAGCTAAGGTTTTGCTGACCTGTCCTGCTAGACGGTATTGGTAAGCTTATGTAATTAACCCGGGAGCGAATGTATACTGGACATGTGTGATAGATTATTAACAGAAAGTATGTTCTGGCTTCTGGACAACACGTCTGACTTATGTCTAGTAGAATACAGTTTTGTTTGGATAGTTTAATTTAACTTAAATATTAACTTTTAATAGTTCATTCGTCCCTTTGTATAAAATTGATTTCAAATTAGTTATAATTTTGACATCATCTATGAAAATATTAATAGTTCCTTACGTCCCTTTGTAATAAAACCATGAATAACCATGAAACTTGCTTGTTAACGATGTACATTTTGATAAAAAACGAAGAGAAGAAAAAAAAATCTAGTGGATAGTAAGGCTTTCGCTCGACTTTGATAAATTTCAATTATCGACAAATGTTTTCATTGTGCTGTGTTACAATTAATTAATGAAAAAATATGTAAATATACTTAGTTACGACGTACCACCGTCTGTTATGCTAAGTCATGACGTCACGCTCACAATAAGGCTATGACTAGTACAATTGATGAGAAAATGAAATAAAATCAGAAAGTTCCTTATCATTAAGTTATTGATATATAAATGTATCGGGAATGTTTCATCCGCATAGAAATATGTATTTGTGTAAATATGTATTTGTGTAAATATGTCTTATGAGTAACAAAGTCTTTCATATGAATATTGTGCGTGTACAACCACGTCACTGACTTTGACTCTGACATAAAATGGTAGAGTTTAAACATTTAAATCCTCGTGTAATATCACGTAGGCGAAACTCTCCAAATAGTATGTGAATAAAAGTTGTGTGAACATGTTGAAAACATAATTGATTTGGAACTCTCTAAGGATAATGATATGTAAAACAGCACAATTTGTAACATTTCAAGATAACATTTCAAAAAAATAAAAAATAGATCATTGAGATCTGATAAAACTAGTAATTGAAAACTTTTGTAAATCATAACGATTAATTATTGTTATTACCCGATTAAGGGATGGTTCCTTATAATTAATAGACATAAATATATAAAATACTGAAGATGTAACATACATAGGTAATGTACGAGGTCAATATAATATTTAGATATAAAAACTTACATGTAATACATGCAATTTTACAATATTTGCAATAGAATAAACATAAAAGTATTGTGTACTAATAAAGAACTGAGAACGAAAGGCAATAATAAATTGATATTACAGTTATTATATGAATAGTACAGTTCGAAATATTAATAAGACAGTTCAATCACTCCACAAGTTGATAGTTCCACACGGCGAAGGTTCCAAATCACAAGTCTTGACGAAGAGGCCAAATAAAAGTAATGTTCATCACATGAGTCTTGTAAATATGAAAATGACGAAAAGTTCTTGGTTGACGTACTACCGTCTAGACGTGATATCTTGCACAAAAAGGCTGAGACAAACGATGAAGAGTTAATGATAAAACAATACAAAGTTCGTCGTTAGAGGTAAAATAATAAATACGATTCTGATCAGGAAACGAAGACTTCTTCTGTCTTTCCGGCATTAAACTGCATCGGATGATTCCTGTCCGTCGAAATATTGTTGAGTTCTACTAGATGTATCGTATGCGATACAGAGAATTACATTTTCGTGTGTGTTAAACCACATCACTAACTCTGTTTCAAACACATTATGGTAGAGTTTAAGAAAACAATGGTCACTCCGTGTTGAATATCACGTAAGGTAAACTCTCCATAGTAGAAAAACTTGTAAAATAAGGATGATGTTGAAAATAGTGTCTCTTTTGACGAGAGGGCAAAATTTAACGACGAAATTTAACGAAAATAAATGTAAATGTCAACATGTTTGATGAATATTTCTACACTGGCTCTTCTTCAATTCTTGGTGGTGGAAGTATGTTTTGTAGGCGTGGATAGAGCTGTGCTGGATACATGGGTGGCATCAACGGCTGTGTTTGTTGTATTTCTGATACATCCGCTGGACTGGAATATTTTGGTTTGTGTCCGTCTTGATCATTTTGGTCAATGGCGTTCGATTTCGTAAATTGACTTTTTGTCTTTTTCCGCAAGAAACATTTGAACCATACACAAAATATACTAAAAAATACTAAAACTAAGCCTAAACACGTGAAAATAGGAATAAAATACTGTTTATAATCCCAAAGATTACTTTCAATTGGTTCAATTTCTGATAGTTGCTGAATTAAAGATTTCATTGGTATTTTTTCCATTGTTTGTAACTTATGTGGAAGAGTAACATTAGAATAGTTTGGAAATTTATCTTGGAATGGCTTCCATAATGAACTAAATGAAATATTTAATACTTGTTGTGTTATAATGATATGATTGTGGCTTTGGGTGTCTGTGATGGTTGTTTGTACCCCTGTGGCGATAGTGTTGTGTAGACTTGTGTGAATTTGTTGCGTAAGAAGTCTGGTGACCAGAGGGATTATGATGGTGTCGGTATGTAGACTGTTGATCTGGGTAAGTGTGATATTGTGATTTGTGACTTGTGGTATGTTTCTGTGGTCGAGTTCCTGTGGAGTGTGAATTTCTGTTGTCATGCGTATAAGGGTTTATGGATCTTACCCGTGTAGCGTCTATTTCTATTGGTTCTTCATCTCTACATGTGTCTGTGTGTGTTGTAAGGAGCTGTGTGTATTTGTGATGGGAATTGTGTATTTTCTATCATGGCACAATCTACAGCTTTAAGTAACTGGATGGCATATTCAGTTGAAGATTGGGTGTGTTGATTTTCTTCCATTATAGATTTAGAAAAAGACATTATAATAAAAGAAACATGTATGTATATATGTATAGATTAATTAGTAAGTAAAAAATGACTTGGGTTCAAATGTTTCTACGGATAAAAAGATAAGAATCAATTCACTTACCTTACGAATGACTGGTGATCGTAGTGAAGCGGTGTCCGAGGTCACGGCGCCAATAAAGTGAAGTCACGGGACCAATAAAGTGAAGTGGTGTCCGATAAAGTGTAGTGGGTGAACTTCTTTGTTGAGAATGAAGAGTGGTGCAGTGTTGAGTGGAGATGAAGAAATCCAAACGCTGTTCAGGTTGATGTAAATTTATTGTGTGTAGACATGGAGAGGTGGTACACTCGCATGCCTTCAGGAACCGATTAGACGACTGGCTAGAAACCTAGTCGTATTTATACTAAAATTCGTAGACATTGATAATCTAATATTACATATTTGCTAACAAGAAGTGGATAATACATGAGTTATTTACATGGTCTAATGCACACACATAGTGGTAGATTAGGTGGTTTACGACAAGCTAAGGTTTTGCTGACCTGTCCTGCTAGACGGTATTGGTAAGCTTATGTAATTAACCCGGGAGCAAATGTATACTGGACATGTGTGATAGATTATTAACAGAAAGTATGTTGTGGCTTCTGGACAACACGTCTGACTTATGTCTAGTAGAATACAGTTTTGGATAGTTTAATTTAACTTACATATTAACTTTTAATAGTTCAGAGGTACGCGCACGCTCACGACATTTTACGATGCCCTGGTGACCTTCATGTATCCTCTGGAGCATATCTGCTCTCAGGCATGTTGGAATAACCAGACGTTTCCCACGCATTAACAAACCACTGTCTTGTGTAATCCCTCCATTTCTTTTCTGTATTGATTTCTTGCTGTTTTCTCATGTTGGCAGCCCCACTGGGTAGCAGTATTTGAGAAACCTCTGGACATCGGGTAGCATTCTTTTACACATCCAGTGGACTTCTGCAGGCTTTGACGCAGTTATTCTTACCGCTCTGAGACGGAACCATTGCTTGCAGTTTGCTTGGGATCTTGTATTTATTTCACAATTTTTCGCTTCCTCCTCTGTAACACACAAATCATCAAACACTTGTTCACATCTAGAGTTCAGCTGCTCTTCATCCGCATTCACATAATTGTCGTCAAACAGTTCTGAAGTACTAAGAGGTATTTCTTGTCAGGGAGGCGGGTCTATACTCCTCAGCATAGCTTGGAAGTAATGACAAAATCGCTGTTTTATTCCTGTTGATTTTAGTTTGTGTATATTGCTGTACAAGTCGCCAAGTTCTTGAGAAGTAGGGGCTGTTACATCTGGGAGTTTCCTTTGTTTTAATGGGGCGGGGGTGTCTCCAGCTTTGTTTTCTTGGTCTTTGCTGACGTGAAGTCTATTTCTTGTATGGTTTTATAATCAGCCTGAAAAATATAAAATGTAGAGAGAATTAATGCATAATTTAAGATTCTATTCATTACATACATGTCTGCATGTGCACTCATCATTGGTAAAAATTGATTACATATATTACCTTATCTATAATTACTGGAATACATATAATCTACAGGAAAAAGTGGATGTATACATGTATTATAGCTAGGTGAGTGAATCGGGGTTCAATGTCCATGCAACATCCTAGGTCATCCGCAGACAGTATAATTGGTAC